AGCTGCTGTATAAGTCGAAAAAATAAGTATAGACAGAGTAGGAATAAAACGATGTAAATAATGTCGTAGTAAATAATAATAATAATAATAACAATAGTAATAGTAACAATAATAATCATTTGAATCATTTGATTGTCAGTTGAAGCAAGTAAAGTAGTTTACATAATTATAGGCAGTTCATCATTTGTGTGTGGGCTGTGATACTGCCCAGGTGCCCAGACCGAAGCAGGTGGTTTTCTAAGGAGGCCACACCCCGAGCCTTTGATCTAAAGGTCTGATCCACAAGGCAGTGGAGCATCGTGAGGTGATGCAGTCACATGGTAGCGGGTGACCAAGAAATTGGTTCATACGCCATTTTTTCCATCAGGATATTGGAGCCTATGTGCACCATTTGTTTGGGATCCGGTTAAAGCACTGGACATTTGCTTTTCGTCCTCTCATTTTCGTAAACAACATCCCTGCCACGAGAAGTCAGTGAGTAGGACTTCCCTGGCAGAGGCTGTATACGCGTGGCCGTGTGAGAGTATTTCGAGAGGGAGAGCGGACTCTCCCCACTCTCGGCCGTACCAGGGCGTTTGGGGGCTATTAACTTCTAACTTTAAGTAATCTACGGAACTGAGCGACTCATCCATCACTGTCATCAGTGAGTTACTATTTCACAACAGATCCGGTTGAACTCTACTGGTTAATGCCTCTCATTAGAAATAATAAAATGATTAATATAGATTTGCAAATATTGTAGCAATACTGTTGCTACTTAAAACCCAAATAAGTAGGCAAATGTTTTTTAAAATATTTTTTGTGTTCACTAGCAGAAAATTGTCTGATAATTAGTAAATGTGCCAGAAATTACTGAAATTCTGTTAGGCTGGTGAGTACGAATATGATTGGTAAGGCCCAAATAAATTAATTCTATCTGAACTAATGGTCTAGACGTCAAAACAAGTCTATCTCCATGACTATCGGGAGCTCCTCAAGTTTGCTATTAACGTGTAAAATCACTAGTCCTAACACGAGAAAGTTCCTCACAGTGACTGTTAACGGATACCTATCTCTGTTGTAGCTAGATATAACTCTGAACACTATCATTAAATCATAAAAGCTTTGGGAAGTAATGGTAAAACCTAAAATTAAGAAAAAAGTTCGAGCAGCTCCCACTGAATGAGGAGGTTATCTCCAACTCTTAGGTTAATGGTAGTGCACCATGCTCTTCCAAGTTTTCGCGTTCACAGGAGTTTTATGTAACACAAGGTGATCTTAATTTACTCGGACTTGATTGGTTCGATCGGTCTCACTTATCTGATGTCCCATTAAATTTTGTGTTCATCTTGTAAAACAGCCTTGTGAATCCAGCGATCGTCCAACTGTCGAGAAAGAAACAGTCATAGCTGAGATTTGTCCAATGGTGATGGAAAATATTCAATAAGCATTGCTTGGTGACACTAACAAAGTAGAAGAACTATAGTTACAAATACACATCACCTTTCCAAACCCATAAAAAGGGTATCACCTTTCTGATTCTGATTGATGAGTTCTCAAAATAATCATGAACCTTCATCGTGTTCCCACCAAAAACAAAGCATCCCAGATACTGATGGTGAATTTCTTTCGAAACGGAGTGCTAGACACTGTAGTGTCAGATAAAGGATCGAAAATTTTCCTCTAGAGATTTTTAAAAAGTTTTGTTACTGGCAATTCATAATATACACCCCTTTACCACCATAGCATCCTTAATCGGATGGATAAACAAAATGGTTTGTGAACACCTTCAAAAGAATATTATTAAGATTAAAGGTGGAGGGGATGGCCATCGATATATTGCACAATGTTTTATTAGTGTATAAAGGTACACCAAATAACGTACTACCATATCAGAAATCGCCAGAAGAGTCTTTCATGAGTCACAGATTGAGAACAACTCAGCATTTGATGCTGAAAAAGACCCACACGTAAAAAATGGTACCAGTGAAAGTCGGAGCTGATATGTTCGATTGAGATTAAAAATTGATGACAGCGATGCATGGTTCATTTTCAAATAAACCCAAGGGAATTACGCTATTATAGTGGAAAGTAATCAGTGATGTGTAATCTCCAAATACAACTGATGAGAAAGGAAACCATTAACGATTAAGATGAATTTCTATTACACTAAATGATTCAGAATGAATTCTGCTTATGAACTTTCAATGGATTTTTATTAGTGTTTATTGACAAATATTCAGCTCATGAATTCTAATTATTGTAATGTAATATATAGTCGATTAAATTAAATATATTTTCACAGTGGTTGATATATTAGGGTTATCATCAGAAAAGTTTCAGGTATTAAATTAGTCTTTTTACATCAGTTAACGGAGCAGGAAAGGAAGGGAAAGAAGTAGTCTCGTTTACTGTACTGAAGTCGGAATTGTGAACATTTTTGGATAGGCCACGTACACATCACTTTTCGAACTAGCTGGTTTCTTCCTCCATACTGATTTGTTTGGAATTGATACGTAGATGAATTGAATATAACAATTGTGAAATTCGTTGTTCTGCTTTTAGTACGACCATATATAGTTAAATATCCCAAGAAGTACAGCATATATGTGTTTGCACATTCATGTGTAACATTTATTTTCTGTACGCCTGAAATCGTGTCTATATATATATGAGAAAAACAGACTCGACATTATGTGATGGACTATGACATTAACCATATTGTACGCCTTAGAGTAGCTCGAGTGTTTTCAGTTTTTAGGTAAACCTTATTGACAAGTTTAAACAAACGCAAATACTTAGTCTGGTAAGACGTACTACTAAATGTCAATGACAGTTTCATCTCACTATGGTAATGGGGCGTAGCAAATTGAACCGATGTATATGCGTACCAGGTTCTACGTTGTGACTGATTGATGTATTTTAAGTTAAAGAAAGAGTGAATCTGCGTCATTGTGAACGACTCAGAACCATGTCATCCAACGTCTTCAACCATTTATTTTGGTAATCACACAGATCCCAACGAAGTAATCTGCATCTAACTATACAACTCAGTTCGTTATTTAGTGAATTAATGAACGGATGTTTTGTCTTGGTGTAGTTACTCATAGTTTTCTTTGAACCTACTCTTACACCAGTAAAAATCGCCCGTCAGGGTAGGTGGTGAATGGGCATTCATAATACATGTCCAAACCACAATTAATGAAAATTCATCATATAATCAACCGAATTGTCACCCTTACCTAGTGCTCTGCTTCTGATCACATAATTACTTACTCGATGGCCCCAGCATACGCGACAAATGTTTCAAAGTCACCCATGATTGAATACTAATAGCTTGCAAATATACTTAATGTTTAAAGCGTAGGTTTCACAGGCATAAAGCAAAACGGAGTAAACTGTTGCGTATTATGACTGGTGGCTAATTGTTATGTCGGAATCGCTTATTACTTATACTCGTAAAACAAGAAACCATTGTAATTCCTACAACGTGAAGTAAGAACACATTTATTTATAAACTGATTGTACACCCATTTTGACTATTAATTAGGATGAGATCACATACTGCGCATCATGCTGACCATAGTTCATGTTAATTTAATACAAGAACATCGCATCTTGAATAAACACATCAAATTCAAATAGATTAGTGCAATACCGAATAAAATATGACATTGGAAAACAAAACAAATATTCCTCTGAATAATCATCATATTGAATTCAACAAATGGAAGTAATGTTAACCAAATATAACAACGAATCAAAATCTGATTTCGCCTTTTTATCCCACTAAACCTTTCAGCAACATGCCCGTCCTTTGGTTGTCAAGTGTGATGATGAATTTCAATTAAACATTTCTATATGTTTTGCTTATTGAACGCTAGATTTGGTTCCTAAGCTCTTCTAGTAATCCCCAAGCTAGAACCACACAGCGACTTGAACACGAAAGAAAAGGCGCGAAATATGTAAGAAACATTTTACTCCAAAGGTTCGTTTTGTACAGAAAATCTAGGGTTTTTATAGTATTTTAAATATTCCTTGGGTTCCCCGAAAATTATGGAATACTACTAAGCATAGTAGCAGTATAAGTAATCATCCAATCAGAAACTCTACATGTGACTTTTCACTTCCTTGATGTTTCTGGCAAAATGTCTTATGAACGCTGATTGGATAAGATGCTTCTCATTGTTTTCAGAGCTTTTCTTGGCTTCTTTTCGAGGAGTTTCCTGAATCTGATCGTTGAATTCATCAGTCAATCTAAGCCAGATCACCATAAAAAAACCCTGGAAGTACTGGATAACCGATTTGTCTTAATATGAGACTCGTCACCAGTGCGCATCCATAATCCCATATACAGAACTCGAATCCAGGACCTTTAGTTTCGCATAATAGGACAAAACGGCCATTCAGTACTTCCAAGTTTTCCATGATGACCTTTATTTATTTATTTAAACACATAAACATTGGTACAAGGAGGCACCAAATAGATATGAGCCACATAAATCATTCGATTTGTGTGAGGGCTGTGATACTGCCCGGGTGCCCAGACCGAAGCAGGTGGTTTTCTAAGGGGGCCACACCCCGAGCCTTTGATCTAAAGGTCTGATCCACAAGGCAGTGGAGCATCGTGAGGTGATGCAGTCACATGGTAGCGGGTGACCAAGAAATTGGTTCATACTCCATTTGTTCCATCAGGATATTGGAGCCCATGTGCACCATTGGTTTGGGATCCGGTTAAAGCACTGGACATTTGCTTTTCGTCCTCTCGTTTTCGTAAATAACACCCCCGCCATGAGAAGGTAGTGAGTAGGACTTCCCTGGCAGAGGCTGTATACGCGTGGCCGTGTGAGAGCATTTCGAGAGGGAGGGCGGGCCCACCCCACTCTCGGCCATACCAGGGCTTTTGGAGGCCTAGCTTAGATTGACTCATGATTGCAACTATGAAAATCACTGAGATCACCACAAACTTTCATTTCGATACTAAACAATTAGTCTATTCAATGTCAATGAAAAAATGAGCACAATGTAATAGATTTTTATTTCTTTCAAACAAAACAATAGAAACCAATACAGTGATATGTAACAGTTAATTCATAGAAAAAAGAAGAAATGATACACAGCCAGAAAAGAACAAAAGAAATGCAAAAACATCAAATGTATACACCATAAATATATAAGTAAACAAGAAAAAAACAAACAAAATGGAACAAATTACAAAACAAAAGAAAAAACGGAACCATAATAGGAGACACTTACGATATAAGAGATTCATGATGTCGATGATCATGATGTAACAGATAGAAAAGGATACTAAAGAAATAAAATTAGTTGAATTAGTCACAGCCCCATTTCAAATTTATATTATTAAATATGAAGAAAGAAAAAAAAGAAAATCCCATAGAAACAATGAAATGCCAAAAAAAGAAATTGTAGAGAAAGAGAAAAGAAAACTATGAAGAGAATAGTTTTCTCTCTTTCTTCTTTTTCTCTTTTTTTTCTTTTAAAATGTATATAATGTTTTACTATTTAATGAACGATAATCCCCTGAAGTAATCATATCATAACCATTCCAACCAGTTAAGAAAACACGACTAGGCCATTGATTCGGTAACAATAATAATTCTATATTATAATTTAATTGTTTTAATTTATTGATAAAATCTAATGGATGATTTAATATATATTCCATAGTGATACTACCTGGTATAGTAGTATTATAATTAGGATGTATTCTAGTTAATTGAATAGAATAAGTTGAATTAATACAATTTTTTTCAATGGCTGGACTAAATCTACTATGACTACCAATGATTGATATCATAGAAGTTTGTTCTTTAACATTATTCATTGTAGAAATAGAAGTAAATTGTCGTAGTGTAATAGGTGTATGACATTGTGAACCACGTAAAAATAATGCGGCATTACTTATTACCTGTGTGTGTGTGAAATGTAATGCAAGAAAGAATAAGAAATATATGTATATAAATAAATTTAGTAAAATGAAAAAGATAATTTATTATAATCTAAATGGAGAGTAAATGATTAGTAATACTTGAATTATTCAATCATTAAGTTCCAATCCTGTATACTACTCATTATCTACGATTTTAACAATCAAGTTGTATTTATTTATTTGAACATACAAACATTGGTACAAATAGGCACCAAATAAATATGCGCCACATAAGTCATTTGATTTGTGTGAGGTCTAGCATACTGCCCGGGTGTCCAAACTGAAGCAGGTGGTTTTTTTATGGGGGGCACATTCAGAGCCTTTGACTTGAAGGTTTGATCCACAAGACAGTGGAGCAACGTCACAAAATGCAGTCCCATGATAGCCGATGATCAATAATAGGTTTGCAGGCCTTTTGTTCTCTCAGGATACTGGAACTTATAAGCACCTAGATGAATCCTTCATACCAACCAACCCGGTTAAACCGTTGTACATTGGATTTCCGTCTTTTCAATTTCATAAACAACATCCCCGTAACGAAAAGGCAGTGGATAGGGCTTCCCTGGTAGTGGTTATATGCATGTGGTCATATGAGAGCATTTCGAGAGGGAGAGCTGATTCTCCTCATTCTCGGCCGTACTAGGGCATTTGGGGGCAAACCGTACAAACTATAGGTTGACAATATTATAAGTACTGACTGTAGATATTTACAGTATGCGTCACCCCGTATCTAAACAGTCAAAATTCCCAGGTTTGTTTAATTATCCTCACAATTTCGATTTCACACTTAAGTGAAGCCCATATACAGGGTGCCGGAGACGGTCAAATGCAATGTTAATTCTTCTGGACACGAGGTTCGAAAAACGTGTTCTACCACCTGTTTCGTTGTTCCTCAATGTTGGTTATTACATTGCCTTCCTTGCTTTTGATTGGTCGTCCTGGTTTGCGGTGATTTCCATAGAGTTTCTTTGTTGCATCATACAGTTGTCTCATGTTTCCTTCTCCTGCAGCCTTTACCGCCGTCATTGCTAAATCTGATGCTCCTCAAACGAACAGTGATCTCAAGTGACAAATACTGGAATGCCTGGAAAGCGCAATAAGATAAACGAAAACTTAGCATTGGGCCACGAAGAAATACAATCGGATGCACCTCCAGATGTACGGCAAGTCAAATTAGATGCATTTTCATGTCATGGCTCTAATGTTAGTTTATTAAGTCGACATAGCAAAATTAGCTCTAGGATTACCTTAGCAGAGTTGAAAGAAAGACAATTATTAGAAATTAGAGACTTGAAAGACAGACAGAGGAAACAACTACTGTGCTTTCAGAGAGAGTTCGGGTCGTTAAGGCTGAACAAGAACACGTGTAGTGTTTAATTGTGATGAAAGAGAACAGGAGCACGTTCACAGGTTCGTGAGCCCTTCTCATGACCTCAGGATAAAGTCTCCAGAAAAGTAAAAACTGTTAGATTATCCAGGAACGAAGAAGAAGAAGAAGGAAGTGACCTTGGCATCTCCAAGTGTAGGTCTTGAACTTCCAAAGGTAGAGCTAAGTACTTTTGATGGGCAACCAGCTAAACACTGGAAATTTATTAGACAATTTGAGTTATATGTGGTTTCCAAGGTTGAAGACGATATCCAACGGCTCTTGTACTTGTTTCATTATTGTAAAGGAAAGGCTCGAGAGGCCATAGACGAATGCATAATGCTTCCACTATCTTCGGATTATCGTAGAGCGTGCGATATACTGAAACGGTTGTTTGGCAGAACATACGAAGTAAGCCGGGCTTTGCTAAATGACTTGACTGAAGGTGCCAATATAGAGCATAACGACGGAGAAAGTCTATCTAGGTGTTATGACCTTGAATCGCTTTTACCCCGTTGATACTTGGTTATGACTTGACCTTGATCTGTCTAGTCCAGATTATGACCTTGACGCGAAAAGCTGAGCGGCTTAACCTTGAGTCTAGTACGCGTGAGTTCGAGATGGGACAGAGAGAGATCTATTCTAGAACCTGATTGGTTGGCAAGCACGCAAGTGAGAGGAGATAAAACAGTTGGAACACTGACATCTGAATTCTCTGAATTCAGATTAGTGCAAAAATGTACATGATTAAGTAAGTGAATATCCTGACCACAACGTACGTTAATTTGGAAAAATACAATTATGCCCGAAACTGGGAATTAGGGTAGAAAATAAGGTGTAAAATATTATGTTTAAATTACAATATTTCCGGAACAAAAAAGGGTATGGTAGTGAATGTTACATAGAACGAAAGCTCATGTTATGCAGAATGAAATAGGGACAAAAATAAATATAAGTGTTTTACAAGGTTTGAATGAAATGAAATAACGTCCCAAGAAAATAGCTTTCGTAGTTGTCTGGGCTTCTTATTTCCCTGTTCAAAACACCTTCCCCCTTAAAAAAAATGGTTAGTCACTATGTACAGGTAAGAGCTGAGATATCATCATTGATATCTTCCCTCGGAAATGTATGTTCTTCTCTTTGGGTCCACTTGTAGAAAATCTGGTTTTCTGCGTTTCCGTGATGATCTCCTAATAAGACTCTGTCCAGGTTGCGCAGTCTTCTGGGTCGCCGAGCATTTTATATCGAATGGATTTGATTTGGAAATTTTATGAGAACGTAATAAATCGGCGGTATTTGATTTGACATCGTGAGAACACATAACATTTGAATTATTTGATTCAGAAAGATTATGAGAACATGTTTCATTAGAAGCATTTAATTCGTGAATATCAAGAGAGGATGATTCATCGGAGGCATTCGATTTAGAAATATCATTAAGGATTTGGATGGACTCATAGGAAACATTATAAGAACATACTTCATCTAATAATTTATTCAAGGTATCAACATGCGCAATTCAATCTAATCCTAATAAATCTAAATCGTGTCGATTTGTGAGATAACAAACATCTGTGAATTTACTTCCCATGAGTTGAACGTTGCATATAACCTCTCCTGTCAATTTCACTATGTCTCCTGAAGCATTTCGAGCGACATGTTCCGTCGGTCGGACGCGTGGGCATCCTAACTTATGCCATGTGTTCTTTGAGATCAACGTAACATCAGAGGCAGTGTCCAATTGAAGTCGTATAAGTTTTTCATTTACTAATAAATTTACAAATTTCCGCCTACTTTTAAATCCAACTTTAAAGGTTGCAAACGTGGTTTTAGTTCGACTGTTTGATCGTTGCTTCGAATTTTCACTACGATGTTTAGGCTTGAGTTTATTTAACGAACAATGACCTTCTTTGTGGCCAATGCGATGACATTTGCGGCATTTATGATTCTTAAACGGACAGAATTTTGCAAAATGCCATGCTCCGCAGAACCAGCATGGTGATGGGGGTTTTGGCAGGTTGTTTCATAATTGTACTGTTTTGTTTCGATGATTTTGAGGATCGGAGCGCATTAATTGAATCACAACCGGAAGGTTTAACCTTCTGTTGCACCATCGCAGTGTCATGCTTGAGATTAAGTAACCACTGACATCCAGTTGTGACCATTTGTGATGTCATAAGCGACATCACAGCGGACCAATTTAAATGCTTGATTTTCATATGTGGTCTAAAGAATGCAGAAGATGCAGATGTCCGTACCAGGATGTTGGCACGCATTGAGCAAGAACCGAATATGAAATTACAAATGGTCACAACTGGATGTCAGTGGTTACTTAATCTCAAGCATGACACTGCGATGGTGCAACAGAAGGTTAAACCTTCCGGTTGTGATTCAATTAATGCGCTCCGATCCTCAAAATCATCGAAACAAAACAGTACAATTATGAAACAACCTGCCAAAACCCCCATCACCATGCTGGTTCTGCGGAGCATGGCATTTTGCAAAATTCTGTCCGTTTAAGAATCATAAATGCCGCAAATGTCATCGCATTGGCCACAAAGAAGGTCATTGTTCGTTAAATAAACTCAAGCCTAAACATCGTAGTGAAAATTCGAAGCAACGATCAAACAGTCGAACTAAAACCACGTTTGCAACCTTTAAAGTTGGATTTAAAAGTAGGCGGAAATTTGTAAATTTATTAGTAAATGAAAAACTTATACGACTTCAATTGGACACTGCCTCTGATGTTACGTTGATCTCAAAGAACACATGGCATAAGTTAGGATGCCCACGCGTCCGACCGACGGAACATGTCGCTCGAAATGCTTCAGGAGACATAGTGAAATTGACAGGAGAGGTTATATGCAACGTTCAACTCATGGGAAGTAAATTCACAGATGTTTGTTATCTCACAAATCGACACGATTTAGATTTATTAGGATTAGATTGAATTGCGCATGTTGATACCTTGAATAAATTATTAGATGAAGTATGTTCTTATAATGTTTCCTATGAGTCCATCCAAATCCTTAATGATATTTCTAAATCGAATGCCTCCGATGAATCATCCTCTCTTGATATTCACGAATTAAATGCTTCTAATGAAACATGTTCTCATAATCTTTCTGAATCAAATAATTCAAATGTTATGTGTTCTCACGATGTCAAATCAAATACCGCCGATTTATTACGTTCTCATAAAATTTCCAAATCAAATCCATTCGATATAAAATGCTCGGCGACCCAGAAGACTGCGCAACCTGGACAGAGTCTTATTAGGAGATCATCACGGAAACGCAGAAAACCAGATTTTCTACAAGTGGACCCAAAGAGAAGAACATACATTTCCGAGGGAAGATATCAGTGATGATATCTCAGCTCTTACCTGTACATAGTGACTAACCATTTTTTTTAAGGGGGAAGGTGTTTTGAACAGGGAAATAAGAAGCCCAGACAACTACGAAAGCTATTTTCTTGGGACGTTATTTCATTTCATTCAAACCTTGTAAAACACTTATATTTATTTTTGTCCCTATTTCATTCTGCATAACATGAGCTTTCGTTCTATGTAACATTCACTACCATACCCTTTTTTGTTCCGGAAATATTGTAATTTAAACATAATATTTTACACCTTATTTTCTACCCTAATTCCCAGTTTCGGGCATAATTGTATTTTTCCAAATTAACGTACGTTGTGGTCAGGATATTCACTTACTTAATCATGTACATTTTTGCACTAATCTGAATTCAGAGAATTCAGATGTCAGTGTTCCAACTGTTTTATCTCCTCTCACTTGCGTGCTTGCCAACCAATCAGGTTCTAGAATAGATCTCTCTCTGTCCCATCTCGAACTCACGCGTACTAGACTCAAGGTTAAGCCGCTCAGCTTATCGCGTCAAGGAAGTGATAACCGCCTTCATACCTCTAACGGCACTCAAGACCACTGACTGACTTAAATTGTCATGACCACATTTATCAGTGACAAATTCTATCATACAATCATAATGTACAATTACTGACAATATTACACTTATTATCCTGCTGTAACCTTCTTTTACTTTCTTCATAAAAAATGGTTGTATTTTCCTTAACTGAGAAATTTCTTCTGATTGTACCTTTCCGTTTCCCCCATTACTATTATTATTATTATTATTATTGCACTGCCTTACACTAATCTGTTCGTTATTGTTTTCTTTTCTCTTCGAATTCTCATTGTTTTGTGTGGCGCATATATATTTGGTACCCTCTTGTACCAATATTTATGTGTTCAAATAAATAAATAAATATTGTACATAACGTTCCCACTGAGTTGAAAGTGATTTTTTTTCTTAGATTTTAACCACCAGAATAAGAGTTACCTTACTGGTTAAACAGTCAGTGAGACGACAATTTGTGAACGACCTTTGAGCGATGCCAAAGTGACCTTGAGAGTGTTTACCTATTCACTAGGGTTAAATGAAGGTTATAAAGCAGTTTGAAGAATAAGGATTATGGTTCGCAGTTGATGGTTAGGGTTAGGAATTATATTTACGGTTTTTTTATTATTATGAATTGACATCAGTTAAAATGCCAAGACGCTATTTGACCAAATGTGTGGGTAAATTTCGCGCCAAAATTCGAGATCTGTTATCGTAAACTTGATTGGTTCGTCCATAAATTATATTCTCGCCATTTTGTGCCCAGAGGTTAGGTCATAAATAATGAATGGCTTTAGCTTCATCTGTGAACGAATTTTTGTTATACAAACTTTCTTTGACCCAGTTCTTTGTAGATGATGATTCTCGTGGTGGTATATGAACAAGAATTAACTATGTGTTCACTCCTCTATTTTACTATAGACTATTAAATGTAGGAAAAACGCCTATAAATACGATTGTACAGTAGAGGAAAATGATATAGTCAAAGAGAAAATTTGTTTTATTCATTTTAATTAATTATAACTTGAAAAAAGTTCATTTAACTAACTTGTGCTGCATCTGTAAGACCCCATAATCCATCAAACGAAACAATACCTGCACGTATACCACATTTTCTATGTGTAGCTGATAAATAAACTGGTCCAAGTGGAATAAGAGGACGACGTCCAGGAGCAAATTTATTCAATTTTATTTCTGAGAATAATTGTAACACTGAATTCAAGTGTACACCTGTACCAGGTACAATTTGTCCATTACCAAATGGTGAACCCATGAATATATTACCAACAACAGTAAAACTAGTGGAATCAGTTGTTACAATACCTGTGCTACCGATACTGGCACCTTCCTGATAGTAGGGCAGAGATTTATTAAAAATGTAATAAACAAAATAATTGTTATACTCAATATTCCAATGGAAAAGATCAACTTGAAATTTCTTTAAAATATTCATTTAATTAAATCCCTGTTAAATTATTGTTTGGGGATATATCTTTAGTATCTAGTTCAAAGTAAGTAGTTGTTTTAAGTGACCAGACCAATCCTGAATTGTACTTCATTTCTAACTGGTCATCTTAGCGAGATTTTATATTGTCATTCATTTCATTAGGATATTGCTCCCAAATGCGGTCGACAGTGAGGAGAGTCAGCTCTCCCTCTCCAAATACTCTCACATGGCCACGTTCATACAACTACTGCCAGGGAAGTTCTACTCACTGCCTTCTTGCACCACGGGTGTTGTTTATGAAATTGAGAGGACAGAAAGCGAATGTTGGGTGCTTTAACCGGGTTGGTGGATATGAAGGACCCATAGAGGGAAGTTGGAAAACCTTGATTGGGAACCAATGGTCCACATTGGCTTCAGTATCTTGATGGAACAACGCGTATGAACCAATAATTGGTTACCAACTACCATGGGACTGCTTCATGTGACGTTGCTCCACTGTCTTGTGGATTAGATCTTTAGACCAAAGGTTCAGGGCGCGGCCCCCTCAGAAAACCACCTGCTTCGATTTTGGCACCTGGGCAGTATCCCAGCCCTCACATAAATCGAATGATTTATGTGGCGCATATCTATTTGCTGCCTTCTTGCACCAATGTTTGTGTTTAAATAATAATAATAATAATAATAATAATAATAATAATAATAATAATAATAATAATAATAACATTAGGATATTAAAACCATTATGACAATTGATTTGCAATTAGTACTCTTCAAGTTTTCTTTTTAAATAAGATTTTACACTTACCGATTCCGTTCAAACTTTAGGTATTAAATTCTATTGTTTACTGTTAAAAAATGACTATAATAAATACTTGAATTTATCTACATTCAGCAAAAAACTAGAAATTATTTTGAGCACATGTGTTAGCGGGACATAGATTGGATTCAAGGACGTTCCATACTATGACTGTGTTGATGCAAGCTGATTGATTATTTCTCATCCAATCAGAGCTAGTGGATACTTGGCGAATACTCTAGAATCTCCTCATGTACAAACTATAAATATACTAAGGTTTCTCTTATTTCCATCTAACCTTGTTATTTGGAATATGATTTCGTTCATGTTCAACCGTGTTTTGATTTGGAGACTTGTTGAGTGAATTACTCACTATTATTAAAAATGCGCCTATTTCATAATAATCTTAAAAGAAGAAGAAAATAACTATACATATAATAACTGAAATCATTTCATTATATTTAGTAAATCAGTTTAAACTTGAATCTTATCAATTACTCATTTATTTTTATTCATAGATACTGGTACAAGGGGACACCAGATACATATGCACTATACAAGTCTCATTTGACTTGTGAAAGAGCTGTGATATTGCCCGGGTGCTCAAATCGAAGCAGGTGGTCTTTGACCTAGGGGTCTAGTTCACAGGGCAGTGAAGCAATGTCACATGATGCAGTCTCATGATAGCCGGTGACTACTAATTGGTTCACATGCCATTTTTTCCATCAGGATCCTGAAGCCCATGTGCACCACTAGTTTCGAATCAGGGTTTTCCAACTCCCCTAGGTAGACTCTCCATGTCCACTAACCCGGTTAAAGCACCGGATATTCGCTTTTTGTCCTCTCAATTCCGTAAGCAATACCCCCGCCACGAGAAGGCAGTGAGCAGTAATATATGCTATGTAATGAAAAGATTTGAAAATTTGTTGAAAGCACTTTATACAACAATGAGTTGTGAAAAGGGTCAGATCATTCAATTTGTTAGTAGACCTATTTGACAACATGATATATAAGTAGTCTAGTTTAATAGATCGTGTATTTTTAAACAGTTGTACAATCATACTTTCTTAAATGTCAGAGATCTGGAATAGTACGTACACAACAGTCGATAAAACGGTTAAAATCAATTCATTATTTCAAAGCTTAAAATTTATTCCTATGTTAATATGTCTTTATCATGAGATGAAATCTAATTGTTTATCATACATTTGATTGAATAAGATGTCAGTACTGTAGCAATGTGAATGCTAGATTTCGATCTCATCAGATACGACAATACTTACATACAACCGATAAGTTACATGTCGAGATCAGGCAAGAATTGTGTATTAAGTTGCCAGTGATTATGAACTATTACAAGAAAAACTAGTTAGTATTATGTTGTACGCTCCTTATGCGGACAGATATAAGTAGTATGTATCAGGCATAGGAAGTAGAATTCTTACTGACAGAAGAGAAAAGAAAAAGAAAACAATCAAAATAACAACAGGAATGGAATAACACTTTAGTTAGTAAGGGATAACTCAAGGAACATATTCAAAAAGTGCATAACATAACTGATTTCCCCTGCCCAAGCCTTCGTGCATTACAATATATACATATGAACGAAAACAAATACGTAGTTAAAGAGAAAACAATATTACTAGTTAATAAAAAGATATATTTCTAGTGTAGTTGTTATGGTTTATGTCCCTATCAATTATCACGTGACAAAACCACCGATCGGAATACTGACTTACATGATTTTGTTCTTGTGCTAAACAATGTCAACCAGTACTAGTGGTGTTAAGTCAACTCTCAATTCTTATTGGTCCTCGACATAGTAGCTTCTCATTTATCCCCCTGTCCGTTGAGTCCAGAACACAATAATATATTTCAGACATACGTGGTTTATATGCAAGCAGACCACACCACATCATATCATAAAATGAAAAATAATAATTATACAAGATCAAGCTAAAAGTGGTTGTGAGTATAGGAAACTATAACCAATAGATTGAGAATAAATTAAGATTAGTAGATCTTGTTACTGACTAACTGACTGAGTAGATCTTTTAACAGTGATTAATAGGTCGAATGAAAGCTTATGGTTAAATGAATATGAATATACAGATAATCTAGTTACTTAATAGTTATCTAATAAGAATATATGTAATAACAGTCCATAAACAATCCCTAGCAGTTACCAGTCATTTATTCTTCGTTCGGATGCAACAATAATGTTAACCGAAACAACATAAAGCTATGCAAAATCCAATTATGAGAAAACCTATAAATTCTTGTTGTCCAAGTTGTTGTTATTATTGTAGCATTAAAACATAGAGATGTACAATAATGAGAGACGGGAAAGTACTTGATGCTAGATTACTTACTTATCAGTATTCGCGATATTCTATTGATCAAGTTTGCAAATGTATTTTTATGATGCTAATTAACTTAATATGTATATCAAGCCAAGAAAATCTATTTGATCCACAATTTGTAGCTGATTGAGATCCATTTCTCAGCTATTTCATAATTTATCAAATAAAAATACCTCATAGATGAAATGTTCAAGGTTTCAATGAAATTAAATAAGAAAGAAAGATTAGTTCAACGAAGAGTTCTCTTTTCGGCGAATTCATTTTCAAAGCTGTACAATCGCAAATATATATATACTTATTTTTACAGGGTGATAAGCGTAATTCTCTGTTTGATTAACGGATATCAGCTTGTTTATTCGGTGAGGAATGGTTGATTAAATTCTGTATATGGTAACACCTTATCTTCTTCTTAGAGGTCCGGTTAATCCAAAAAATAGATGTTGATTTGAAGATTTAATGGGAGAGGACGAAAACAAATATTGATAAGAACACCTAGCCACAAGTTATTTGGAAGTATGGTAAAGTGATTAGCGAACTAATGCGAAAAGTGTATTTGGCAGAGATAAAAATGTAGGATATATAGCGTCAGGAATTTTAGCGCGAAAAAATAGAAATTCGAATTTACGAGAAAATAATAAGTAAACGAGTTTAGGGGATTTAAAAATGTCAAGAAGCAACTGAATTGAGAAATACGTATAAAACTAATTCACTGATAACATTTAAAGAAATTTATCTGCTAACATATTTAACTTACAGAAGTTGTTTGAAGGACGTCTAGTTGCGAATGTTCCTTTACCACACGATCATCTAGAATACTAGCTACAGTGGCTTCACGTACAGACTTTGAGAAGATACTGTCCAGGGCAGATGCAGCTGCTACACCTAATTAAAACGAAACTGTCCATCAATCAAAAAGTTTAATTTTTAAGAGTAATAATTATTCCATTCAATATATGTTTGTAGTGTCGGTTATTATGTTAAGCCTATATACCTTATTCTAACTTTCGGACAGCCCATTCTATTCATTCTACTTGAGTCACATTTTGACCTTGTCAATTATTCGCTTATCAATCTTGACTGTTTTTATATGAGCATAGGTGGTGTGCGTACATTCCTTATCCTATTCATCACATATCTGTAACTTATTTTTGTGTAACTATAATTATTAATTAACGCTTGGTTAAAGGGGAGTTGGCTTATCCGCCATCTCCACTGCGCGTCGTTTTGCTTTGTTCTGTTCTATCCGCTTTATGTACAAAATATGTCAGCCAGTCAATCAGTAACAAGGTAGAACTTCGTATGTATGTACATCAGTTCGAGTTGCCATACCACATTAGAACAGAGATGCAGTTGTCGACTCAAATTCCAACCTACAAAATACAAAACATATGTATTCAAAAGTTCATTCTCGTTATTTGACTTATTTAATTCCGTTATTCACTGAACGCGGATTAAATCGATAAAGACATACAAGGATAGGCGGCATATACAATTCAATAACAATCGTTCACGCAATCTACTTGGAGTCAGAACTCGGGCCACTAAAGTGGAGAGCCCTTCAACAAACATCGTCCGATCTAAATGACGACAAAACAAAGGGCCACACATGTTTAACAAATCAAAGTAGAATTAGAAATTTCTCAGTAGAATTAACGGTACACATATCCACAATGGACGGTAGTATAAAAATGAAAACTCTACACATAGCATCTGTTTCTTAGTTTGGAATTACCCGTGTATTTTCTGAGAGACAGTCATAGTTACTTAAAAGTTTATTACCATTGCTTACCTACGGACAATTGGTTAATAGTTGTTGTAGCCATTAAGTTGTACACTGTACAAATCTACGTCATACATAAAGGAAATTCATCCAATGGTACGTGAAAGTTATAAAGACATACTAGAGTAATGGTAGTAACGGTAGAATAATAATAATTTGAGAACGACTGAAGTGATGTATGGGACCTGGTGCAAATATGCAGTGGTTCAAGTTGCCAGATCACATATCATCAGCGGTAAAAAAATAACTTAAAAAGGGTAGAAGGCAATAAAAATAGTTAGGACCTCAGCTACAGTTATCTGAAAAAAATGGAGAATGAGCAATATTTCTAAAAAAAACTGCTTGTTAGAGACACACACAAAGGCAGATATATATGTACATATATATGACTAGAAAATGTAAAAAATCTGAATGACTTTTTACCTCGAATCAAGCAACATTGTAGTAGTTACTTGAAACCGAATTGTATTGCTACTGGGCGGCCTGCTTGAATATCTGGGCTACCTGTTCCTTCGATCTAGATATTTCTTCAAGTTATCTGATTTGTTGTTTGTTTTAGCACATCAATATGTCTATTGTGCTCACAATCTATTTGGGCGCGTTTATGAAAAGTTTACAACCTTTCGCTATACGGGATACAGAAAGGTACAATCAGCGACATCATGGTGGCTGGCAATATGCAATGAAACGAATGAACATTAATCAAATGTGGATTACCGAATTCCTAACATCTAACTGGTCATCATTCGAAATTTATCGTCACAATCGATCAAGATATAAGAAAAAGAAACTTGTTGAAATACTTTATGCTGAGAATTCTATGTTGTACCAAAAGTATAACGTTGAATAAAGCTGCTTATAATAATAATAATATTATACAACAAAAGTGGGTATATGTATACACTTACTTATTGTAGGATCACTCAGATCTCCAAGTGTAGTAACTGATGCTTCAGCTAAACGAGCCAGTTCCATAAGACGATGCAAGTAGACAGCAGTCACAATTGGATCTTGTTTGAGTAATGCTTGATGATCAAGTGGAGTGAGTGTATCTTTAAGATCTAAATTGCTCAGTAAGAGTAAAATATACGGACCACCAACTAATGGAGGTGGAAATGATTCCAATGTGAAACCAGCGAAACCCATCTGAATAAAAAAACATAGAAATTATTGTAATTTAAAGAAAAGTATATAAATATACAATTTAATGGATATCGATTATCAATCGAATCGGTGAGGGTATCCGTTTTCATGAGTGTCTTGTGAATTAAAATTGTAGGTTGATAACGTTTCAATATCCCAAACTATTCATCTGGTATTTGCCAAAGTATTTTTCAATTTAGTGAAAGTTACCATCATAAACTCACTTTCATTTCGATGACTACTGAAGTTACTACTTATACACTGATAGAACACTGAGGTTCGGATTCAATGGTGTACATTACCAAATTCAAACAAGTAGTGAAATGGTTTTCGGGCTGAAGTCAATCTGTGGTATGAACTACATCGATTCTGAACAATCTCTACATACCACCTTCAATTCAATAGTAATATACACATTAGTAGCCAGCTTTTACAGGGATTCTCGAAATCCTAGTGTCAACCCGTGACTGGTGTAATTTAACCAAACTGGGAAATGATTTAGATATCATTTTTAGCATTAGGGTGAAGGCTGTACAATATCTCGAATTGATTGAAGTTCATAATGTGGACAAAATGGGTTAAGATTCAGTGGTCTGTCTGCTGAGACTAGTATGATCTAGAATTCTATGTGGTGTGGGAGGTCGTAGATAGAGACTGTTAAAACGTTCAGAATTACAACGAAACAGCTGTTTAGTGTTTTATAGCCTTGAAAGATTCTTTTCAACTGTGCAAATAATGTAATAAATTCATCCTGCTCTCTCTTAAATAACTAATCTTATGTTTATTCACCAAATGTATTCTCATAAGCTTATGCATAAACAACTGATAATCTCTAAAGTGAAGTTAAGCCCTGTAAAATTCAAGCGAAACCATTATAATGGTCAGGTATACTTTCCTTTTTATTTATTCCGTTGAAGAAATAAGGCGAGTACTGAAATCGAATGTATGCATTAAATATAAATTATAGCATAAAATGATATTTATAGACCATACAATAATTGACACTCAATTAAGTTTAAGTTATAAATGACATAATAAATATTTATCTGTCTTAGAGCTTATCTATTCCGACTTCATCATTTATTTATTTGAACATATACACATTGGTACAAAGGGGAACCAAATATATAAATCAAGTGATAACTAGCCGGGTTTAAAGTTACAACAAAAACAACGATAGTAATAGCAATAACATACTTTGATTGCATTTGGACGACTAACTGTATAGTTCTTCAAATCTTCTAATGACCATTGAGAATTTTGTTGTTTCATATAATCAACAAATTGTTTATTAAATGTATTCTCATTAGTATTATAGAAGTATTCATCACGTTGATTAGCTAAATGGTGTAATGTATTACGTAAGTCAACCGATGGAGAATATGGGGTATTTTCATCAATTAATTGATTTAAAATTGGTTTTAAAAAGTCTGGTAAATTTAATGTCCTTAATTTATTCGCGGCTTCGATTAAAGATTTACTAGGCTAATAGAATTAAGAGAAAAGGAAAATAATAAGTTAATTAAACAGTTAAATTTTTATTTCGCTGGTTCTCGTCAGCTGCTTACAACCTGTGATATTTAAAATCATAATTACATACTTACTTTCGCCTGTTACTCCTAATGGAGCATAGGCCGCCGACCAGCATTCTACAACCCACTCTATCCTGGGCCTTCTTTTATAGTTTCATCTAATTCTTGTTCATTTTCCTCATGTCTATCTCCATTTCCCGGCATAATGTGTTCTTTAGTCTTCCTCTTTTCCTTCGGTCTTGATGATTCCATGTGAGGGCTTGTCTTGTGACGCAGTTGGGTGCTTCCTCAATGTGTGTCCTATCCACTTCCAGCGCTTCTTCCTGATTTCTTCCTCCACTGGGATCTGGTTTGTTCCCTCCCATAGTAGGTTGTTGCTAATAGTGTCCGGCCAACGGATTCGAAGTATTTCGTGTAGACAATTATTAATAAATACCTGTATCTTCTGGATGATGGCTTTCGTAGTTCTCTAGGTTTCCGCCCCATATAGTAGAACTGTCATTTTTACTGAAAATTCTGACCTTGGTGTTGGTTGACAGTTGTTTTGAGTCCCAGATGTTCTTCAGTTGTAAATATGCTGCTCTTGCTTTGCTGATCCACGCCTTCACATCTGCATCAGATCCACCGTGTTCATCGATGATGCCGCCCAGATATGTAAAGGTTTTTACATCCTACAAATCTTCTCCGACAAGTGTCATCCGATTGTTGCATACTGTGTTGTATTGAAAAATCTTGCTTTTCCCTTTGTGTATAGTGAGACCTACTGCTGCTACACTTGTCATCTTCTCCTTCATTTGTTGTTGCGTGTGCCATAGAAGAGCCCGATCATCTGAGAAGTCTAGATCGTCCAACTGCATCCTAGAAGTCCACTGTATCCCGTGCTTCCCTTCAGATGTTGACGTCTTCATGATCCAGTCGATCACCAAGAGAAAGAGAAAGGGTGAGAGTAAGCGAGCTTGCCTGACACCGGTCTTTACTTCGAAGGAATCTGTGAGCTGTCCTCCATGCACGATTTTGCAGTTTAATCCATCATATGTACTCTGTATGATATTGACTATCTTCTGAGGCACGCCGTAGTGTCGAAGAAGTTTCCATAGTGTTGTTCTGTCCACGCTATCAAATGCCTTTTCATAGTCAATTAAGTTGATGTAGAGTGATGAATTCCATTCAATTGATTGTTCCACAATGATCCGTAGAGTTGCGATTTGGTCTGTAAACGATCTATCCTTACGGAATCCTGCCTGTTGGTCACGAAGTTGGGCGTCTACGCAGTCCTTCATCCTGTTTAACAATACCCTGTTGAATACTTTTCCCGGTATTGAGAGAAGAGTGATGCCCCTGTAGTTATCACAGTTGCTGAGATCGCCTCTCTTCGGTATTTTGATCAGAAGTCCTTCTTTCCAGTCTGTTGGTACTTGTTCCTCATACCAAATCTTACTGAAGAGAATGTGGAGTATCCTTGCAGTTGCCGCTACGTCTGCTTTCAGTGCCTCTGCTGGAATGTTGTGTGGTCTTGCTGGTTTGCAACACTTGATTTGTCTGATGGCCATGCTGATTTCTTCAATTGTTGGTGGGCCAACATCGATTGGGAGGTCCGTGGGTGCTGCTTCGATATTGGGTGGGTTCAGTGGGGCTGGTCGATTTAAGACTTCTTTGAAGTGTTCTACCCACCTGTTTCGTTGTTCCTCAATGTTGGTTATTACCTCGCCTTCCTTGCTTTTCACTGGTCGTTCTGGTTTGCGGTGATTTCCAGAGAGTTTCTTTGTCGTGTCATACAATTGTCTCATGTGTCCTTCTCTTGCAGCCTTTTCCGCCGTCATTGCTAAATCTTCCACATATTTACGTTTGTCGGTTCTGATGCTCCTCTTCACTTGTTTGTTTACTTCTGTGTATTCAGCTTGTGCCTTGGTTTTTTCTGCTCTTGTTCGGCTGGTATTGATTGCTGCCTTCTTGTTCCTCCTTTTTGAATCTTGTCCAGTGTGTCAACGGTGATCCAATCTTTGTGATGGCGCTTCTTGTGGACCAGAACCTCATGACATATTGAAGTGATTGCCTCTTTGATCCCCTTCCAGTTGCTCTCCATAGTAGTTCCTTCTCCATTGAGTAGATCATGAAAGGCCTGGAACTTATTGCTGAGGACTATCTTGGATTTGTTGAGTTTGTCAATGTCCTGAAGAAAAGCCGTATTGAACATTTGTGATGTTGTCCGCCACATTGTCCAGTGCTTCTTGAGTTTCGATTTCATCTTGGCGACCAGTAAGTGATAATCTGAGGCTATATCAGCTCCTCTCTTGGTTCTCACGTCCTCCTGAACTTTTTGTTGATGCAGATATGGTCGATTTGGTTCTGCGTAGTGTGATCCGGTGAAGTCCATGTGGTTTTGTGAATGCGCTTATGTGGGAATATGGTACTACCTATGACCGTTTATTGAAGGCACATAGATTTGCAAATCTCTCACTATTTTCGTTTCTTTCTCCCAGTCCGTGTCGTCCCATGATGTCTTCATATCCAGTGTTGTCCGTTCCAACCTTGGCGTTGAAATCTCCCATCAGAATGGTCAGGTCCTTTGTTGGGCACTTCTCGATGATTGACTGCAGCCTATTGTAGAATTGATCTTTAGCGTCTTCATTGTAGTCGTTGGTAGGCGCATAGCATTGGATGATGTTCATTGAAATGCCCTCTTTCTTTGTTTTAAACGAGGCTTTGATGATCCTTGGTCCATGAGATTCCCATCCTATAAGTGCGCTTTGTGCTCGTTTGGACAGCATCAATGTAACTCCTTGTGTACGTGGAGCATTTTCTTCTTCATGGCCAGAGTATAACAGGAGCTCTCCTGAAGTTAGTCGTTGTTGTCCAACTTGCGTCCAGTGTGTTTCACTGATCCCAAGCACCTCTAGGTTGGAACTCCTCATTTCTGCAGCGATTTGAAAGGCTCTCCCGGTGTCCCACATTGTACGAACATTCCATGTACCTAAATAAATGGTTGCTCTGGTTGTCAGAAGAGGCATCGGCCTCGTAACTTCCGAAGGAATTCGGCTTTCATTATGAGGCGTCATAGTTCTTCTAAGTGAAGACCTTCTAACTCCCAAGGCAGAGTTTACAAAGTTTGAATAATTTTTTCTGGTTAACGTTTTTTTAGCGAGTTAGTTTTTCTACGGGATGGGGTCGCTAACCCCATGCCCAACCCTCCTCCTTTATCCGGGCTTGAGACCGGCAGTAGCCCCCGAAGGGACTCCAGGCGGAGTTCATAACTACATAGTCGGTTTAAATTACTTCCATGAAATAGTATGATTGGAAGTTATATTAAAGACATATTCGTATAGTATAGCAAGAGTGTAAATAAATTTCATAGACTGAATTTTGTAAATATATACCTTATGTGATGAAAGAACATTCTACAACATTGTTGTGACAACAGTTCAACCGGTTAGAAACAAGTAAACATTGATAAGAATAAAATGAGTAGAGTTCAGTTGATAAAATAAGATTATTAACTTGGAAGATAGTTGAAATAAAACTCAATGATGTGATAAGTGCAAGAAAAAGAAAAAAAACATATTTAGGTACAGCGAAAGAGTATTTGTCACCAAGGCAGGGAAAGATTAACAATCATCTCCTTTTGAACACATAAATCAAGTTTTTTGCGCCTGATAGCAACTGCTTCAGCAAACTTCAGAAGACTGGAGTTTGGCTGATTACTAATAACCTTGAATGATTGTAGGGTATCGACCTGATGTCCTGTATCAAGAAGATGTTTGGTGATTGCACTATTTAGAGTCTTTCTTTCTCTTGTTCTGAGGCTTTTTGGAACATGTTCAAAAAATCTGAAATATGCCATCCTTTCTGTTCGGCCAATGTAGCTGCTTTGGCAGGTACATGTAAATTTATAAATACAATTGGCGGTAACATGAAAAGGATGCTTATCAACCTTTGATTGAGTTATTGAACATGTTGTTTTATACAGAATTTGAAGTTTGGCCGCCGGATGGGTTCTGGCTAGCGCAGTATTAAGTCTCCTGTTGATTGTGTTAGCAACATCATCACCTTTGAAGTTAAGGCTTATAGTTATTGGTTTTTTATTGACAGTAATTACTTCAGTATTATTTTCTTTACGCTTTTTATATTTGTCAATAAACTTTTGTAGGTAAAAGTTGTCTCGCAGGCATTTTTCCACTTTCATCAATTCTTCTTCGAGTTTGTCATTGGTATATATCTTTTCTGCCCTATAAAATAGTGTTTTAACTAATGCCTTCTTGTAGCTCAATGGACAAAAACTATTGAAATTCAGGTAAATGCCATTCCAAGTACTTTTTCGATAAATCGAACGTTGGACTGTCCCGTCTCTCCTACGCTTTATAGCAACATCAAGAACGTGGAACATGTCATTCTGTTCGTGTTCCAGTTACCACTGACAAACTGGAAGAAGAATTGGTGAAAGTGGAAAAATGCCTGCGAGACAACTTTTACCTACAAAAGTTTATTGACAAATATAAAAAGCGTAAAGAAAATAATACTGAAGTAATTACTGTCAATAAAAAACCAATAACTATAAGCCTTAACTTCAAAGGTGATGATGTTGCTAACACAATCAACAGGAGACTTAATACTGCGCTAGCCAGAACCCATCCGGCGGCCAAACTTCAAATTCTGTATAAAACAACATGTTCAATAACTCAATCAAAGGTTGATAAGCATCCTTTTCATGTTACCGCCAATTGTATTTATAAATTTACATGTACCTGCCAAAGCAGCTACATTGGCCGAACAGAAAGGATGGCATATTTCAGATTTTTTGAACATGTTCCAAAAAGCCTCAGAACAAGAGAAAGAAAGACTCTAAATAGTGCAATCACCAAACATCTTCTTGATACAGGACATCAGGTCGATACCCTACAATCATTCAAGGTTATTAGTAATCAGCCAAACTCCAGTCTTCTGAAGTTTGCTGAAGCAGTTGCTATCAGGCGCAAAAAACTTGATTTATGTGTTCAAAAGGAGATGATTGTTAATCTTTCCCTGCCTTGGTGACAAATACTCTTTCGCTGTACCTAAATATGTTTTTTTTTCTTTTTCTTGCACTTATCACATCATTGAGTTTTATTTCAACTATCTTCCAAGTTAATAATCTTATTTTATCAACTGAACTCTACTCATTTTATTCTTATCAATGTTTACTTGTTTCTAACCGGTTGAACTGTTGTCACAACAATGTTGTAGAATGTTCTTTCATCACATAAGGTATATATTTACAAAATTCAGTCTATGAAATTTATTTACACTCTTGCTATACTATACGAATATGTCTTTAATATAACTTCCAATCATACTATTTCATGGAAGTAATTTAAACCGATTATGTAATTACGATTTTAAATATCACAGGTTGTAAGCAGCTAACTAGAACCAACGAAATAAAAGTGAATTCATTCTATTCTGCTAGAATGTTTGTTCTTGCTCTTTTCAAAATGATAAAGGGAACTATATGTATGAAACAGTTAAATAAGTGTTTCTTTATAGTAGATAATTCGCTCCCGACCGTTGTTTCTACCTTGATGTTGTGGTCAGGACTGTCTTTCAGGACGAACCAATCGAACTATAATGGCTGAGACAATCGTTCATCAAGGTCCTATCATACCAGATAGGTTGGTTGAAGGACAGTAAGACTAAAAGCAACAAACCCAACGTCTCAAGGAGAAGTCGTACTGCTCACTGAACAGACGTGACAACAGTAAAGTGCTTCCTTCAGACAACCAGCATGACAGCGATGCTGCCTTCCCACAACAAGGGTGGGGTTAGAAAAGGTCGACCCTAAAAATGCACACCTCGCCTTATCCCACGGATATCCGTCTCCGAAGGCAAGGTCTCAATAAGTACGAGCTAACGCAAAAAATTACTCATAAAAAGGTCGTGTGTGACCGACCTCAAGCAGTTGTCCCTTGGCCACTGCGGTCACGCTCTCAGGTCTCTAAGACCACCTTTAATCCAAATTCCTTTTCAGGTACCTCCAGAAGAACCCTTTCATGGTGTGGGCAACCGGGAAGTGATAACCGCCTCATACCTCTAACGACACTCAAGACCACTGTATTGATATTCAACCTCCACTGACTGAGATAATTCGCTCTTTTACAAAATGAAATGGAAAGTAACAAGAAGTTAAACTGTAGACTTTTATTTAACGATGCCCACCTTGCTCCAGTATATTTAGTATATAATTAGTGGTGGAATCTAACGTGTGTATTTTCATATTTATTTTATTCAAACACATAAACATTGGTACAAGAAGGCACCAAATAGATATGCACCACATAAATCATTCGATTTATGTGAGGGCTGGGATACTGTCCGGGTACCCAACTCGAAGCAGATGGTTTTCTTAGGAAGCCACACCCCGAGCCTTTGACCAAAATGTCTAATCTATAAGACAGTGTAGCGACGTCACATGATGCAGTCCCATGGTACCTGGTAACTAATAATTGGTTCATACGCAAGTTGTTCCCTCAGGATACTGAAGCCCATGTGGACCATTGGTTTCCAATCAAGGTTTTCCAACTTCCCTCTATGGATCCTTCATATCCACCAACCCGGTTAAAGCACCCAACATTCGCTTTCTGTCCTCTCAATTTCATAAACAACACCCGTGGTGCAAGAAGGCAGTGAGTAGAACTTCCCGGGCAGTGGTTGTATGAACGTGGCCATGTGAGAGTATCTGGGGAGGGAGAGCTGACTCTTCTCACTGTCGACCGTACCAGGGCATTTGGGGGCGCATTTTCATATAAGCCAATGGTTATCTGGATTCAACAGTTTACTGAATAATTCGTTAGATTTTTGGTGAGGAAAGTATTGCGTTCAGTTCCTAGTGCAAACATCAACACTGAGATGCGGAGGCATATTCAACCAGAATGAAATCCACGTTTTGGATTCAGTTGCTAGTTACATATCAAGCAATAATACTAACAATTGTTCTATACAAAATTATACGTTTAATACAATATGGAAATCTCAGTAATCCGTTCAAGATTCACGTATTTTGTAGAAATTAATCGGTTGAAATTTCGAAAATCAATAAAGGGAAATTAAAAATTCTCAATAAACTACTAATATGGTTTTGACAAAATTTTAATGTCAGTATAGGGTTGTGGAGATTATTAAGTTTTTTGATGAAGATCATGAATTGATCGATGTTCGAGTTGGAATCCCGCAAGCGGAGTCATGGATGCGCACTGCTGAGGAGTCCCACAATAGGACGATTCGGCCTTCCAGTGCTCTCAGGTTTTCCATAGTGGTCTAACATCAATCAGTTTATGATCTCAACCGAAATTTTAATGTTAAAAATAAACATTTCATATAATTTACAGAAAGGTTTAAACGATTTGAATAGTTTCATGAAACAGCTGATTTTATATTTAAACAGAAAGGCCTGAAGTGACAAACTAAAATATGACACAAACTTATGAGGTCATCAAGTACTAGTTCTGAACCATATCCAGGAGTGTAGACTTCTTAATTGGGAACTATATGAAACAAGCTTAGAGTTTTAGTATTATTTCATATTCCTTATTCAATCACCACAATCTCTTACTGACAATATTCTTTATCAACAGGGTGATATTACAGTACAGGTGAAAACCAAGTATATGAATCTGTACCTGATACATGAGTTAATAAAATGAGAAGAAATAATTAGTCAGTCGGTAATACAGAATATAGGATCTGGGACGAATGTTTATCAATCCGAGTTGTGAAACATTACAACAAAAGAGGGTGATAGGGAAAATCAACAAGTAGAAGAAGGATGAATAATAGTGATAATAATATATATTACAATGAGAAGTTGGGCAAAAGAAATCTCAATTAAAGGGAACGAGTAACTGAAACCAAATAATAAGTAGCATGGAATAGGACAAACCTCAACATTTAGAGGAACATAAAGAACAATTGCCAAACAATGTTTCTGGTCACAGATAACCATTATTACAGGAATCCGAAAAGGGTACCCTGAGATTACTGATATGGTTAAGTTTAGCAGTTATTTGCCTCGTGGTCTGATATTATATCTTCTATGGGTTACTACAATCCATCTTCAAATCAACTCCGCGAACCAGAATTAAGCCTCGAAGTGTGAGGTATGTATGGTTGTATAACAAATGTTTTAACCATGTCAGTCGATGTATGTTTAAAGCACCATCGATAGACTTACCATTCTTATCTGAGGTTACAATGCTTAAATTCATGATCACTCAATTAATGGTTCTATCATAAACAAGCTTTAGAAGACATCTATGTTTAAATAGTTGAAACTTGTACATACCTTTCATGTTCATTGATTATGATTTCCAACACATATCAACAAAGAGTGAACCCTTGTGCAGTGTGCCCTTCTCTTGATGAGAACACACATATATTGCTTGCGCCATAGGTGAGGCAAGTCTTTTAAAACTGTTATAATCCTGTTTTCTTACGGTTATGACCCAGCTATTCCTATTGCTTAGTATTCTCGGACACCGATTCACTCGACAAGTCCCCAAATCAAAACACGGTTGAACAGGAAAGAGATTATATTCCAAATAGCAAGTCAGAAGCCAGTAGGAAGCACAATAGGGAAAACGTCAGTATATTTATAGTTTTTACATAAGAAGATTCTAGAGTCTTCTCCAACTATCGACCAGTGCTGATTGGATAAGAATTAGCCAATCAGCGTGCACCAAAGCAATCATGCATTGAGCATGCTTTAATCTAGTCTATATTCAGGCAGAGATTTTATCAATCACCCATTTATTATGTAAAGTTGTAAACAAGAAATGTTTTCGTTCATAAACAAATCAACAACAACAGAGTAGAATTATAAATATATTGAAAGTAACATAAAATTGGTGCAGATCTTACCATGAAACCGTTCATAGTTAAATCGATCGCACCAGTGAAAAGATCCGACCATTTTAATGAACCAAATCGTTGATGCATAACTGCGAGGCCACGTACTAGAGACGGGATACCTACTAAACTTGCAGGTTTATTTTTATCTGGTTTATCTCGTTCTGTAGCACTATTACGAACAGGGCAAGTGAAGTCAAATAAGTGACTTAATTGTTTATTACGATCACGAACTAGTACAGCGCCACATCCTCCTAAACCTATGGTTAAAAGTTAAATGTAGAATATTTACTATTGAATATAACAGAAAAGATACACTTGACGGCAAAGATATCACTAATAAGAAGTTATTAGTAGTAGTATTACAGAAAATGAGTCATTCTAATAGTATAACAATTACGACTTTAATCTTGTCATTACACTGAAAAAAACGAGGAAATAAGTGAAAGCAATATGAAATATAGGAACTTGAATCAATATACACTTATATCAGGTCTTAAAACAGATGAAGACTGATATTTGTCAGCCGATAACAGTTTGATTCACGAACTTTATTTAAGGGCACATATTAAGCTTGGAACACGATAAACGAAGTTTCTACTCAGTGTATAAGTCACAAGATTTTATGCCTTATACGTATAACTTCATGCGGTAAGCCTTAGATTCTACCTTGTGTCAGAGGGTTAATCATACCTATATGACTTCTCAAACCAAGAGGACAGTAACATTTGACTGCGATACCCATTGGTTTAAATAATAACCCACCTACATGAGTTTCAGTAACCAGGAAGGTATCTCTAGACCAAAGACAGCAAACAAGCTTTAAAACCTAGTAAAAGAATTTACACTTGGTTCTTAGTGGAGCGATGGGATAGTGACTGAAGTGCACAACTCTCTACTATGTTCAAATCCCATATTACCTAGTTTCACTTGAGTAATTAGATAGTATCATCAGTCTTTACACTCAAACTTGTGGCTAGAAGACGAGTACAAAACTTGCACTTTGTAAATACGTTACACTATTATTTTGATTACTACTTAGTAAGTAATTCCTACTAACATCATTCCACTAAGATCGGCACATTATTTTACACAGAAAACATCTTGGGTATAGTTTACATTAAGATATACTTTGTTAGGATCTACAATTTGATAGTTAAATGCAGATTTGAATACCTGGTGTTAAGGTATATGTTTTGCATGAACGCTGGAGATGCTGAGCGATTGACTAAACTGAAGTGGGTAGTATAGCGTCGAAGTATACAAATTAGTGGCTGAAGGCTAAGTACATTAATTATTCAGTTGTCGCTAATTGTGAGGACCTTTCATTCATTTATGTCACTTAGTAGTGATAGTAATATATGTCATACAGCTTTTATGGGATGAAGTAATAAAAAAAAACTAAACACTTCAAAGGAGATTCTTGTTTTCTGTAAAGTAGTTTAAGCTTACACAGGAAACAGGCAACTAGTTACTGATGTAAAGCATACGTAAAATCTTTAAAAAGAACTAACAGAAAATATTCTCGGGAGAAATAGACCAATATTATACTCAGAATAAAAACTTTATTTATGTAGGTAAGATTTCTACGAAACTAATCGCAAGATATAAAATATGCTAAGCATGACATAAAGTTGTTTGAAGATTGTTTATAATAAGAATATTATACTTCTGAAATCAATGTCGAATAACTGTATGATCAATAATTCTACTTCTTATTACTGAGATCTAGTTCTAAGTCATAAACTAATATGAAATAAGATATTGTGCACTGTAAATATATTAAGTTTAATACAAGTGTTATAACCTCTTTCTTCTTACGGTTATGACCCAGCTATTCCTATTGCTTAGTATTCTCGGACACCAATTCACTCGACAAGACCCCAAACCAGAACACGGTTGAACAGGAAAGAGATTATATTCCAAATAACAAGGTTAGATGGAGGCAAGATGCAAGCCAGAAGCACAATAGGGAAAACGTCAGTATATTTATAGTTTTTTACATAAGATTACAGAATATTCTCCAACTATCGACTAGTGCTGATTGGATAAGAATTAGCCAATCAGCGTGCACCAAAGCAATCATGCATTGAGCATGCTTTAATCTAGTCTACGTCCCGCTAACAACGAGAAAATGGACGGATTCTAGCAAAGATTTGATTCTCGCTTGTATACAACTCCAAGAATGAAATCATCAAAAAGAAATATGTTTTTGGCTAACTAAGTACACACACTCCCTCGTTTCATGTCTCAATGGACATTTTCTATTTGTTTTTACTCAATGGAGTGATAATATGAACAAAAATACACTGTTCCATAGACATCCAATAAAATCCTTTTGAAAATCTTAATTAACAAAAGTTTAATCTGCTGAAATTGAAGTAGCATAGGTAGACCATACTATAATAGATTTCTAGCCACATACTGTTTAGAAGCATTGGGTTATTGACTATGTAATAGGTTATGTAAACTAACGTGGAATAACCGAATGGCGACTGCTTACGTAGAAAAACAATTACTTAGACAGAGCTCTCTCTAGAAAGACTGACATTATAAAACTTCAAAATTGATCAAGTAAATAGATTATTTTACTTAATGAATTAACACACAAAAACGTTTACTCAAAAATAAACATAAATGGGACATATAGATAGTAAGGCCTGTTTCTAAAATTTACTGGAAATTTTATGGATTTAGCTAACACTTTATTATATTCTTTTACTGTCTAGTGTTTCGTGGATAATATATTTCACTTGGCTCTAGGCAAATTCGAACGAGGACCGAGAGGGAACTTTGTATATTCCAATACACCAGAACAACAAAAATTCAAGTAATCAAAAGGACTTACATAAAAATCTCTTATCTATTATGACGAGAGTCAGTCACTCAGCTACAACGTACGACCAGGCACATATATGCATCGATCCAAGTTATCACACCTCATTAGCACAACAAGATGAACACCAAATTCATATAAGTAGTTACTTCAATGGTAGTGATATATAAAAGAAAGATTGCATATAAGGACATAGTACGGGAAGAAAGAATTAGTTGGTAGAACGAAAGAAATAAAGCAATTTTAACCTCACGGTCTAAGGAAAGACAAAGAATGTATACACCGACGCAACTGCGATCGATTCTGATAGAAACGAATAAGTAATAAATAAGATTCAAGTCGTATTTAAAATTCTAGATAGTAAAAGAGATGAGACAAATCAAATCAGTTATTCTGATTCCATAAAACTGATAAAAAATATGAGGTAGGAATTACTGCTAAATGAAACTTACTTGCAACATCAGGGCGAGTTACAGTTAGGCATAACATAACAGATACCATCGCATCAACAGCGTTCCCTTTGTTTTTTCGCATTATATTTAGGCCTATTTGACCACAGAAGTCATCGTCAACTGCAACAGCACCTTGAGGTACGACCTTTGTTTACAATTAATTAGTTTAAAGTAGGCATTACCTGAGGCTGTCCAAAAATAATGCTGAAAATTAAAGCTATAGTTATAGCAGTCGATAAGACTATCACAGACAATACAACTATATTTACACCTTCAAGTCGCCACTTTTTATTCGATTCATTTGTGTTTTTTAAAATACTGTCAGTGTCTTTATTGACCATAAATTCATTGTCTTCACCAAAAGGTGCTTGACGGGTCTTGGAAATATCCGACTGAGTCAGTTCAATATCAGGATTCTTCTCTTCAGATTTACTCTCCATCGCCAAAACAAATGGGTGGGAGAATTACAATATGTGGACTTTTCTTTTTACTGTAATGTCTATAAGAAGATAGAGTACTTGTTGTTAACACGGTCTAACGTAAGACTTAGATGTTACTTCATTCACAAACATTGTTTGTTTCAAGTTCGTCCCAGCGAAAATATTTTGAATAAATACAGTTTCGTAAAGCACCGTAACCATATTCCTAACTTGCCTTAGCTGACTTTTATCTATCTCGGAGGAAGGATTGAGATAACAAAAGAGAAGACGAACTTGCATCAAATCGTAAAAGTGCTGCTCAAGTGAGGCAAACAGAGGACATGGTGTTTTTAAAGCCTAGTCTTACTGATTGAGACCTTAATCTATAAAGCAATAGAGACCTCAAGAAAATCTGCGTGGCAGGACATAATCGATCACATTTTATGGGATTTTCGGGCATGTGAATTTCCAACGTAAGATCATGAATTGGTTTAACGTGACTGACAGGTCACAATGGAGCATATGCATTCATCCTGTCATAAATTAGACTTTGGGTACCAAGACTGTCTTAGACTTTTAGTTTCGTGAAATCATTTATTCCTCTCGAACAATAATATCTACGTCTAATATTTTTTATCACTGGTAATGGTACTACTTTTACCACTCTAGAATTAGTCTTTACAAATTTACCACACTGATGCTATGATGAGGTAATTTACACCGATACATATATATACTATATTTGAGGTACTTATGATTTTCATTACTTAGTTAATAAAACTCTAAAAACTGGTAAGCGTGGCGAGATGAAACAATAGTGTGAAACTTCAATGATTCTTAAAATAATGTTCTTTAAAGAATCGTTTACCTAAACTACCTTACAAAAACAATATGTTCAACACGAAAAATCAACCCAAATCAGGTAGAAAAAAGATTTAAATATTTTATAGACATGATGAATTCAGTTTCATCAGATGATATTTAGCAAACAGATAGTCCCCATACAAGTAATGCTTTCTAATCGACATGGTGAGATAAGAGTGGAAAAATAGCTTTGATCGTAATAATTAACCCTCACAAACCACAATGTCCCTTCTAATAAAGAGAGTCCATTCATATATACACTGTGAGCCTGACCAGTATTTTTGGTTAATGCTATCATTCCATATAGTTTTTACCACCAACTGACATGTTATAATGCAAAAAGGTTGGGGTTCGGTAATAAGAGTTAAAGTGGAGTTTTGAGTTAGGGTTTGCAAACTGAGAGCAAAGTTTCCAATATGAGTCGAGGTGAGCAACGATGTAATATCTTGCCAACTTTCTCTTTACAAACTTGAGGAACCTAGGGTTGATATTTTGAGTGAGAGTAAGAAAGGGAGAACATTACCAAGTTTACAAAACACTCGTGACCACATAGTGAGTGACACTAAGTACTTCGACACGATCTGCTTCAGAAGCAAGTATGTCAGCATCATCTAAATCTCACTTCACTGTATAACAGATATTCTCATCGATTTTAAACATTTTAGGGACAAATATAGACATTTTTAACCTGGTTGGTAACATACATGTTACTTTTCACTGAACTGTGAACCTTTCGCACAATATCTGAGGTGTTGTATTAACTCCGATTGGTTAACTTAAGGCTGTTAATATATACTTTTGTCAATGGCCTTCACACACAAAACTCAGTGTAACGTTCAATTTGTAAAACACTCAGTTGGCAATACTGTAGTGGCATTGGACAATAGCCACACAATCCACAAAGCTGTGAACACGAGACTACTCAGAAAATAGATATTCAATATTTAACGCGGAGAAATACCTAACAATGGAGAAGGCGCGAACAATGAATTGAATGGACTGGAGTTGATCGAGTGGCATGGCTCGGCCATGCAGGCGTAGTCTCTGCTGAATGTTACCTTATATCTTCTATTCATATTAAATATATTGTTCTTTCTCTAGCCTAACCTTGTTCTACATCATGTATTGGTAATTGATACGATACAGTGAGTTGGTGTAGTCGATGGTGTGACTTCCACGTAAGATCATATAGATTAGGCAGTTATATCATGACAAATCTACAAATTTAGGATTAGGTCTATCATTAGAGCAGTACTAATATCGTAGTAGACCATAATTCTACATTGGTGAGCTCAACTAAAGAAACGCAACTTATTATTGTTAATCCTTATTTCCACCTTAACCTTCTCAATCGGTTTTTATTTTTGTAAACGCAGCATTCTAATAGTCCTTTGATTAATGGTCACATATATTATCGTAATGTTATATCTATTAGTTCACATAACTTACTAGCTCAATCGATAATAAAAGTTGATCATCTATATCAACTAATTAGCTTTGATGTTTCGTTAACAAGCTTTAATAGCATTTACCTGCTTCAGCGACATAGACTTGTTTAAACATCAAGCTCTAGCAAATATAACCTGTAAATAGCGTAAATATACATTGATCAGCAATGCAATAAAGGACTAAATAGTTATCTGGATCTAATTCTCAGTGTTCCTTCACTTAACACCTCATCCTGTTTTAAAATATGCACTATCCTGTAATATCTTTTCTTCCGACCACTGCCAGACTAATTTCATATTCTCGAGTTCCATTGCCAAACAACAAGGATGACACTTCTCCAAAAACATACGGTGAGTTTCAGCTATAAGTTTTCTGCAATCACAAGGTCACTTTTAGATGGTTCGTTCAATGACAACCACACAATTATCTGGATTCATTCGATTGTTCTGATCCGAGCGAGTGGCAAAAACCTCAACAGCATCAAGCACCCTGAAACTAATTGCCACACTGCATGTTTTATTCTGGATGCTTTTGGATCAATACTACTCACGAATGGCGTTATATATGTCGTCCACTGAATAATCTTATTTTCAAAAATAATCAAGGCGAGTTCAACTATTTTACTGGATGATTTTTTTTGTACTCAACATGTATATGTTTTTCAGTTGCTTTTGCCATATATTTGTGAGTGTCACTAAGCTAAATGCAGTAACTTCTTATGGAACGTTTATAACGCATCATATTCCTGCCTGAAGTTTCACAAGCAGTCTTAACTTTAAAATTATTTATCTGGTCATGTTCATTATTTTTAAATTGTCATATACGTCAACAACCTGCTTGTTAACCTGGCCCGCACATACGTTACGCTATATCTTCATGTCTTCTAAATTTAGGAATCATCTGAATCGCCTTTAACATTTATCAATAAACCCATCATAGTCGTTGTTGCTAATCGTATTTGGGTTTATGGATTGGTTTATCATATTAGCAGCCTAAAATGCGAACATAGGTTAGATAATAAGATTAAAAATTTAGGTACTATCAACTGCACTAGTAAAATAACTAAATCCCTAGGTAGCCGTTGCCTAAACAAACGTTTAAAATCAAAACTCCGTAGCCTACTAGAATTAACACTAAACGAATCTTTCTGAATTAAAATTTATAATTAAATTAGGCGTCTTGGATTCTTTAACGTAAGATCTTATAGATTAGGCAGTTATATCATGACAAATCTACAAATTTAGGATTAGGTCTATTATTAGAGCAGTACTAATATCATAGTAGACCATAATCCTACAATACTCAAATTCCAAACTTTCAAGTGGTTCAAATGGTTGTGGACGGAATAGAAGCTTTCGCTTAACATGCTTCCGTGTCTAATAGCAGTGGATCACCAAATCCTCCAGGCAGGAACCTCGGTATGTTAACAATAAAATAGGATACTATCCTTAAACCTTAAGAATAGATGAAGTTGCCTCTTAAAGGACTCCTGGGAAGTTGCTCGGATTAGCTCGCTCGGCAGTGAATTACAGCATTCGTCAACTCTTAAGGAGTAGAAGTTGTGTCTACAGTCCGCTCTGCTATGTTATGTCCCCAGTTTTTGAGCGTTCCCTCTTAGGTTAGTGTTGGAACTAAGCTCAGGTAGGTGTTTGAGAGGATTTCCAGAAGTGTTAAGGATACTATAAGCCATCAGAAGGTCACCTCTAAGACGTCTGTACTCTAATAAGTAAAGGTTAAGTGAATGGAGGCGCTCTTCATAAGGTTTAAATTTGAGTCCTCGAACTGATTTCGTGGCTCGTCCTCTTTAGCTTTTGATCTGAGTAGGTTAAAGATGAATAAACAGACTCGATAGTTGTGATCATAAACATTGCTTAAATCAGAATATATTACTTACTTACTTACTTACGCCTGTTACTCCTCGTGAAAGAGCATAGGCCGCTCAACAGCATTCGCCATCCAACCCTGTCTCAACACAATCCTTTCCAGTTGTTATTCATTCTTTTCATATCTGCTTCTATTATCCGACGTAATGTGTTCTTTGGCCTTCCTCTTTTCCGCTTCTCTTCAGGATTCCACGTTAGAGCTTGTCTCGTGATGCAGTTTGACGATTTGCCTAATGTATGTCCTATCCATTTCCATCGTCTTTTCCTAATCTCCTCTTCAGCTGGAAGTTGGTTTGTTCTCTCCCACAGAAGGCTTTTGCTGGTGGTATCCGGCCAATGGATGTTGAGTATCTTGCGAAGACAGTTATTTATAAATACTTGTACCTTCTTGATGGTGGTTGTTGTAGTTCTCCAAGTTTCAGCTCCATACAGTAGAACTGCCTTGACGTTCGTATTGAAGATTCTCACTTTGATATTGGTTGAAAGTTGTTTTGAGTTCCATATGTTCTTCAGTTGTAGGAATGCGACCCTTGCTTTACCAATCCTCGCCTTTACGTCTGCATCTGAACCTCCTTGTTCATCGACGATGCTTCCTAGGTATATGAAGGATTCTACATCTTCCAGAGTTTCGCCATCAAGTGTGATTGGATTGCTGTTCTGTACTTTGAATTTGAGGACCTTGGTTTTCCCCTTGTATATTTTGAGGCCTACTGATGCATAGACTGCTGCTACACTGACTGTCTTCATCTGCATCTGTTCGTGTGTACGTGATAGAAGAGCTAGGTCATCCGCGAAGTCCAAATCGTCTAATTGATTCTGAGCTGTCCATTGTATGCCTTGTTTTCCCACAGATATCGAAGTCTTCATAATCCAGTTGACCAACAGAAGAAAGAGGAAGGGAGAGAGTAGACAGCCTTGTCTGACTCCGGTCCTTACTTGCAATGCATCTGTCAGCTGTCCTCCATGCACGACCTTGCACTGTAGTCCGTCGTATGAGTTCCGGATAATATTGACAATCTTCTCAGGAACTCCGTAGTGTCGAAGAAGTTTCCATAATGTCCTCCCATCTACACTGTCGAATGCCTTTTCATAATCATATTAGAATGGACATAAATTAAAGGGTTCAGGAGTTTTATCCGTAAGGACTTGCCGTTGGCAGACCGCGTAAAAAGACGGGAAGCCGAAAAATAACCACAACTGAGGTTAGACGCTGGCGAAAAGGTCATAAAAATTATAAATTTTATGGTTGTAAGGCTTCGATAGAGAATGATGCCGAAGCCACTTAAATAGGCTTCGGATCTTCTACACTAATGCCCGGAGCTTACTTAATAAGCGATCGGAACTAGGTGTACAAACTGACTCTACAAAGCCAGACATAATCGCAGTAACAGAAACCTGGCTGACCCAGGCTATAGATAGTATGGAACTTGTTTTCGAGGGTTTTACGTTAGTAACGGCGGACAGAATACGAAAGCGTGAGGGAGGGTGAGTGGCTCTATTCATAAGGCGTGCTATACCATTTGCCATTATCGATAGTGTATCCCGTGGGAGTGAGACGTGTGAATTAGTTAGTTGCCGCTTGAAATGCATGGGGCACGAGCTGCTGATTGGTTTGGTCTATCGCAGTCCAAGCTGTGAGGTAAATGAGGTCCTGCTAAGCAGTCTCAATACTTGATCACAAAGTGGTCGATGTTTAATCCTATAGGACTTTAATGCACCTATGGTAGATTGGGAAAATTTGTGAACTGAATCGTCAGATTATTACTTCGAGCAGGAACTAGTTGATACGGCTATCACATATGCCCTAGTGCAACATGTGAAAGAAGCGACTAGGTACGACCCGGACACCGCATCATCCTTACCAGATCTGACACTCAATCACTATGTGAATGACGTTGCGAACCTCCATTACATGCCACCCCTAGGTAAAAGTGATCACACAGTTTTAACTTTCGACTTCCATATAACTTCCAGTCACGAGCACGCGTCAGTCCAGTTCAGACCTAACGTCTGGAAAGCAAACATACCAGACGTCATGCATTCAGCATCGTTAATAGATTGGACAGTAGACCCAGAGTCCTCAGTTGAAACGGCCTGGGACGCATTTCGAAACTCATACTTAAAAGTTACCACACCCCACATCCCTTGGACTATACCAAAGGGGCCGAGAAACTTCCCATCATGGTTCAGTAGAGAGGTCCGCGTCCTTCTCCATAAGAGACGAAAAATGTGTAATAGATTTAGGTTACTGAGGACTGATGAGACAAAATCTTAGTATCGATAACCTAGAATAACTTTGCCTCGACCCTCCGTAAGTCTAGAAAAGTAGTGCGAGGAAAAAATTGTTCAGGAATTCATAGGATATCCTAAACGCTTGTATTCCTATATAAGCCAAAGGGCAAAAGAAGAGGAAACATTTTTGCACTATGGGGAGACAGTACTGCTTCATCACTAGTGGAGGACGGCTTTGGTAAGGCTCAAGTGTTCTCAAACTACTTTAGCAATGTATATACCATAGAAGCACGCTTCCCGTCAGAGCA